CACTATTAAAAATTTAATTCCCCCTTCCCCCTGCATGAACGTCACCCCGCGAACTTCTCTTTCTGGGAGTTTAACCTATAAAATCAGGAACCCGAAAGTGGCTAGGTCTGAACCCAAATAAATAAAGTGTTCAATAAGAAATGGTGTTGGGGGGGGGCGTGGAAGACGCAAATTCAGAACCGCTGAGCGCCTACGCTGTGAGCTGATCTGTCCAGAGAAGGTTTCTCCCGGCGCGTCGCACCAGTCTCAGAGGGGCAGAGGCGGACGGCGGAGCCCAGTGAAGGGCCTTGCACCGCCCAGCCGAGAAGGGAGAGACCTTTACCTGAGGCTCGCCTGTTAGCCCTGCGCCTTTTACGTGCCTCACAAGGAGCTGTGAAGCCCGCGGGGGCACAGGGGATGACTTGAGGGGGTGCAAAACAGCACACTCCGGCTCCCTTCCATCACATCCCAAACTCTGGGCATTAGGGTTTTCCCAATTCCCTGTCCTCCCCACTGCCCTCCATCAGTTTGCTCCATCTACGGGATAGAGGGTTAGAACAGTTTCCTTCTTCCTGGTGGCTTCTATTGTGCCACAGCGCCAGGGCCAGGGATTTACACAGAACATCTTCATAACCCTGCCCACCTCCCGGAAGCCACCGCGGTGTGCTCTCCAGGCCCTGCGCATCCAGGGGGCGTCTGACTTAGCCAACATCCGACCTGCGCGACAAAAGTCCTTTTGGCATTCATTCCCGAGCACATCCATCCTCACCAGCCTATGACGAATTCAGATCTAGCCTACCCTCCTCAGTCCCCTTCACACAAGGTCACTCACCAAAGACGCGGCCACCGCGGAAGGCCGTTTTGACTGGGCAGGCGAGAGCGTTGCGCATGTCCAGCAGGCACCACATTTGGCTCATCCGCAGGGTCCAGGCCTGGCACCTTCGAGACCTGCACTGGCTTTTGGGGCTCACGTACCACTGAGGAACCGGCGTTTCTCGCCCCGGGCTCTACCTCAGACTTACACTATGGCTTCTCGCCCAGCGCACCCCACACCCTTGCCGGCAGTCCAAGCACTGGCCTGCGCCCTGGCTGGTTCTTGCCCCGCGCAAGCACATTCTCCCCACTGGCTTCAAACTCATCGCTTTTTCTCCATTACTTAAACGTCAGTGAAGAGTCACTTCCTTCGTTTTGACCCTGTGTCCCTATTGGGGATTAGGGGTGGGTGGAGGGGTGATGTCAGGATTAAAATCTTGGGAGTTTTACTCTGAGCAAACAAGCCATAAACTGGCAGATTAATTCGCGTGAACTGTTGATCTCGGTAATTCGAAAGAAGAAAGTGCCTTGGGGCACTGCACGGGCGTTTCCTGTCTCATTTCACTAGGGATTGCGCGGAGAGGTGCACGGGACGCGCGAGCCTGACGTACGTGCACGTGTGCGCGGAGTAGGGATCTGCCCTCACGTTCTTGACTGCGCCTGCTTTATGTGCCCACCCGCGTAAGCCGCCACCTTCTTAGGCCTCTGGAGCGCCGCGGCTGCAAGGCTCAGGGCCGTAGGCCCTGGAGGGGGAAATCCTTTCGCAGAAGGTTTGAATTAGTTCGCTCCGCGGGAGACCGGACCTCGGCCTTACTCGGCTGTGGATTTGGGCGGGAAAGGCCCAAACTCCAGACTCGAGAGGGGGAAGCCGGGTGGAGCCGGGGCTGGGGTCCGAGCGCAGATGGCGCCGCCGCGTGCCTGAAATATACTTCCAAGGCCGCAGCCGGAGCAGCTGCTCCGGGCGATCCTGGCTCAAAAGTGTTCCCTGTTGCTGCTGCTCGGCGAGAGGCGGGGGTAAGCAGGCCCGGGGGTAAGCAGGCCCGGGGGTAAGCAGGCCCGGGGGTAAGCAGGCCCGGGAGTCAGGCTCCTCGGAGACCCTCCTGAGCCTGCGGCGGCTGCGTCTGGCGGCTTCTCCAGAAGACGAGTTCTGGCAATAATGAGGGCACCTCACAGACCCTTCTCCAAGGCCCTTTGGGCCTCGGGGTTTTTCGGGACCAGCAGGCTCGATGGAAATTTTTGAAATACATACGGTGTGTCCTCTGATGTGTGAGTTCCTACAGCGCACAGGCTGGGCTGGTCCCCCGCTGCTGCAGGTTGGCGCCCCAGGCTGCGGGCGCTCGGCGCCAACTAAAGCCAGCTCTGTCCGGACGCGGAAAGAAAAACGGGCTGTGAAAAAGCAAAAGGCCACGTCTTTGAATAAAAGTTAAACATTAAAATCTAACCCTTGGGTTGTCGCAGGATCCTGGGATTTTAAGGCACGGACAGGAAGGGCTGGAAAAACGGAGGTACCAGTCAGAGGGAGGGAATGGTGAAAATGATAAACACGATTGCTTTAGGCGGGTGTCCTGTGTCTGTATGCGTGTTTGTTTAATCCTTCCCCAGCTCCGTGGCAATTTTATTTCTGTTGTCGTTTCCCCCACCCATTTCTGACTTATCAACAGGCTAGCGCAGGCGAGCCACGCGGCGGGTCCAGCCAGCTCGGGGTCCTAATTTGGGAAGAGAGTTTAAACAATTTGAGGCCAAGGACGGCAGAGACTTTGTCTCGGGCACAATGGAGTCACCTGGGCCCCTCTCCCACCTCCATCATCATACACACACCTTTAAAGGTGATGTATGCGTGTTCGTTAGGGCGCGGGATTAGAAAAAGAAAGAAAGGCCTACAAGGGACCCCAAGCCCTGGACCCGCCTTCTGCTGCTGCCATCCGGGCCCAGAGCCTGCAGCTCCGCTTCCTCCACTCTGGGGACTGCGGGGGCTCCACTCCACCACGCAGTTTTTCTGAAAGATCTTTTCTGTTTCTATGTCCGGTTCCTAAGAAAGCTTTGGCCACTGCTGGGGCTCGAACTTGGATATCCCCTTGGTGCATGAAGCAGCCAGGCAGGGCTGGTAGCCCAGTCCGCAGAAGGCCCGAGAGTGCTCTCAGCTTTCAGCTTCTTCCTACTCCTGGGCCTCAACCCCCACAAACATATTTCGTTTTCTCTAATCCAAACGCCCATCTTTTTCTTAAAAAAAAAAAAAAGAAAAGAAAAAGAAATGGGAATGGGTCAGCTGAACTCGGTGTGACATAAAGTCCTATGTTAGGTCCTCACCCCCTACCCTCATACTGTGGGAGCGAGATAAGAGCATTCTGGACAACAGGTCTTCGGGTTTATGTCTCTGGAATGGTCTCTCCTAGTCCCAACCATTTCTCTCCTCACTATGGCCGGGGAAAAGAGAAAACTGCAAGCTAAGTCCCTGATTATGATCACAGGTATTGGTCGTTTTGAACAAGCGACCCTAGACCAGGTGCAGCGGACCTGGACCCCTCCCTAGAGAAAAGTACCTGCAGACAGGGTGTCTACCACACACAGTTAAGTAACTTCTGTCTTTTCCACCGTCAGGAAAGTAAAATAAACTAACCTTCCAAACCATGAGTTGTCAGGAGGCCTGAAAGAACTCCCACTAAACTGTGTGAAGGCGCAAGTGGATTTTGACAACATATAAATGCGGTGAGGAAACAGGGTCTGGCCAGAGATGGGAAACACACATTAGCTACGCGTTCCTTTCTGGATTGCCCACACAGGGGTCCGCGTGGACAGGCACCCGCATCCAAACACAGAGAAAGATTTGAGCGGATGAAATAAATCTCCTTTTAATTTTCTTTTCATCGACTAATAAAAATAATTCCCCAGCACTAAACTCAAATACCGTAACGGGCCACAAAAACACGGAGAATTCATAAAACTCGGTCTCTGCAAGTCACCCGCTAATCGCGTTATTATTAGCCTCAGGAGCATGGAAATTGAACTGTCACTGCCGAAAGAGAAAATGTAAGCGACAGCTGTCCCTCCTTGGGTCGGCCAGTGTTCCAGCCCCCAAGCCCCTGGGCCCCAATGCTCTGTCCGTCCCCAAGCTCTTCGGGCCCGTAGCCACCCTCATCCCTTTGTGGGCCACCGCCCCCAGCCTGGCGTTCCGCTTTCCAGCACGCTGACCCAGGTTTACTCCCCAACGTTAGCTGGTCAGCAAGAGCACCTTCAGAAAGGCAGCAGAAGCCCTGGCTGGAAAGTTTCTGAAACCGCTAAACCAAGCTGCGACCGTGTGTGTATGTGTGTGTGGACGCGCGTGCCCGCGCTCGCGCGGGCGCGCGCGCAAGATTCTTCCGACAACAGCTGTTCCCCCGGGCTGTTTTGCACAGTTGAAATCTTGGCACTTAATACAAAACGTTAAGTTGTTCCCCCTCAACCAACTACCCGCTCAGGTTTCTGCTAAAATAGAGACACCAACATCCGCTCTGTGTTTTACGGGTTGTGTGCATATAATGTGCATGGATAGATCCGAGGCAATAATTAATCACTCCGCTTCCCCCAATACATAGAGATGTTGGCCCTGAAGAGTGACCCAGGGCGCAGGGTAAGGGTTATAACATACATCCCTTTTCCGTAAACGCCACCGAAGTAGAAATATAATTATGCTCGGTCGTCCCCGGAGTAGGGGAAACACAAGAACTTGAGTCCCAGAAAAGTTGGTGGGGGAAGGGCGAGGACCGAGGACCGAGGTCGAAGGCTAAATGGGACAAACTGGGCATTTCCCGAGACTGGGTGTTGAGCCAGAGAACTCCACGCCAGTCCACTGGAGCTCTCAGGAGCGAATCCCAGCCCCTCTCCTCTCCCGCGGTCGCCTTCGATCTCTACCCCTCCTTAACCCCCGGGGGCCTGCGGCCGCTCAGCTGTAGACACCAGAACAGTGCGCTCCGCTCCCAGAAGAGAAGGGGGTGCGAGCGAGGCCTCCTTGCCTGAGGCTGACGACGAATATGCAAGGATCAGTTCCCACCAAATTGTTTGCAGCGAATTTGCGGAAAGCTTAAGACGTTTGCGCAAAGAAAAGGAAACCCGCGTCGGAGCAAGGCAGGGCATCAGGGAGCAAGGCCTCCTTCCACACCATACCGCCCGCAGGCTGGCCGCCGGGCGTCCCCTCTCCGCCCGCCTCCCTCGGTCTGGTCCTGCGCACTCACCCGGGTGAGGTTCCAGGCCGTGTGCGGCCGCGTCCTCCGTGTCTCCGAGTGGGCCCGCGGGGCTCAGCGCCTCCATGGACAGGTCCAACCCCTTCTCCTCCCAGTCTCGCAGTTTCCGCTTTTTATTTGAGCCGATCAAGGCTTCAACGGAGAAGGCATGTGCTCGCGAGCTCAGGGCGACTGCAGATCTTCTCCTTTCACTCATCTTAGCCGCCCGCACCCCCGCCTCCGCTCGCCCCCACTACTGAGGGAGCAGCCTGCGCCCTCACGCTTGGAGCGCCCGCCGGGCCGGGCCCGGGAGAGGCGGCGGCGCAGAGGCCGAGATAGAGGCGGCGGCCCTGCGGGTCCTCGGCACCCTCCCCCAGCGTCCTTCCCCGCCCTCCGCAGCCGGCTCCGACCCGCGCCCCTAGCTGCCCCAGCCGCTAGGTACGAGCGCCCGGAGCGCCGCCCGCTCGCTGCATGAGCGCCCGAGTCCTGCTTCCCACCCACCGGGGCAGGCGCTCACAGGCTGTGTAGACTGGACTTCATCTTTTTTTTATTCTCTCTCTCCTCCCTCTCCCTTTCTCTCCTCCCTCTCCCTCTTCCTCTCTTGGTCTTCCCGTCCTTCCTCTGATCCAAACTTCTGGGAAACTTTTTTTTTTTTTTTCTAAATTCCTCCCTTCGCGAGGAGCTGGGGGCAGGCGGTGCGCTCCTGTCCGTGGGGTGAGGGAGAGGGAGGGGGAGGAAGAGAAAGACTGAGGGGAAAAAAAGCCAGTCCCCGACCAATGGCGAGGAGGGAACAGGAGAAACCCTAGGTGCGCGGGCCAATGAGAGAAGGGGAGAGACTGAGGCTCGGGCCAAGGCTCCGCGCGGGCTGTCCGGGGATGCTCCTGGGCCGCTTTAACCCCTGGCTTCCCGGTCCCCCACGGGTTCTCTGTGGGGGAGAGGGGAGCGCCGAAAGTCTAGGTCTGATCTTCGCCTTTCCAAACCCCTGCCCGTCCCAAATCCGTATCTTTTCCTCCCAAATCTGCTAAGTCTCATAGACGTTGCAAGCCCAGAGTGATTTTAATTACTGCTCTGGAGTTTGGGGGCTCTCAACCTGTCCGAAAACGCTCGAAAACGACCCCGATAATCTCGCTCCAGCCCCCAGACGCTATAAGCCCTTCTGGGTCAGCCGAGATTTCGCCACACAGGTTACTTTCCTGTTATACGATTTCTAAGCAACTCTGGCTAACGCAAAACGAAAGAAATAAACAAAGACGCCCCGTTACTATCCAGGGTCTTGTAATTGTAAATCTAATGATCGCTTCCTCCTTCCAGTTCTACCTGGTGAAGAAGGAGACGTAGACTCGGCAAAGCAAGAGGCCCGCGGTGCGGCGCCCGGTTTACCGCACGCTCGGCTGATACCCTGACTGGGCCCGCACGCAGCAAATGCTCGCCTTCCCTTCGGCGTGGATGCTGATCTGAGCGTTGACTGCCCGGAGCGCCTGTTCTGGAGAGCCCACAGAGAAGGGATGGGCAAGGCCGGCCAGTAATTTTGACAGCGGAAGAGCTTTTCCAGAATTCCCTTCAAATCTGATTACTTCGGAACCCGGCTCTCCCGCTCGCTGATCCTCCCTCTCCACCCTTTAAAAACAAAAACAAAAACAAAAAACTTTGACAGAGCAGTCGTCAGGGATTTCTCTGGAACTCAATCCAGCACTCTGGCCATTCTAATTTCCCACACCCCCTCCTGGGTTACGCTACTGGTCGCCTGCCGCCTGAGACCCCGAGCGCAGCCCAACGCTGAGCGGGTTCAGAGGGGCCCAGAAGTTGATCCTGCCAAGCAGGAAAAAAGGTCTCGTATTTCGCGGACTGCAGCCTAACCACAGCCTGATCTTCCCATCCCAGTGCCCTGGTCCACACTCTTCTATCCCCGTGCGAAGAGGCAGGAAAGAGCCAGCCCACCAGTGTGAGCGACAGACCAGACTGAGAAGCTCAGCAGACAAGTCTAGCCGACAGCCAGGCCCCGAACAGAGTCAGCAAGCCTAGGGCAGAGGGATCCACGGCAGCCACAGACTCCCGAAGAACAAGTGCCCATCTGCCCTTCCACCTTGGGGCAAGAAGGGAGGGTCCTGTCGGGCCTTTGAAACGCCAGATTCGCCTCCTGACCACAGGGTAAATCTAGTCCTTGACACTGTAGTTGGAACTGCTCTGGTGCGGGACGGAAGGGCTGAATGTCATGAATCCACCTTGGGCCTCTCCAGAGGAAAGCAAATACGAACACTTTGGGAGCCCCCTCACACTGGGCGTCAGCCAGACTAGAGGAAGCCCGCGGCTCAGCAAATGCAGAAAGAATAATGGAAGCCACCAGTTGAGTGCGACTCAGCCAGGCTTGGCCTCCAGTGACTTCCAGGAGCCTCTCTCAGGCTTGGGGATCCCGGAGCAGCACTCCAAGCACCCCTGGGATCTAGAAGCCCGCCGCAAAGCCCCTCCGCGTCTCCCTCTGTGCTGCACCGCAAACTCCAGGAGCCTGGGTGGCAAGACTCAGGGTTTCCCACCTCAGTCACCACCCCGCACTGCTTCCAGGAGCCCTGGCAGAAAGGGACAGCGCAGTCACCACCGCGGGGCCTCAGCAAAAGAGTTGGAGACAAGGGCAGGCCAGGAGCAGGCAGTTAGTTACCTTCCTCTGAGGCTCTCCTCTATGTCGGCTCCTGATTCTGGTGTCACTGCTGGGGCCTGCTGGGACCAGGCCCAGTGGGATAGCAGCAATGGGGCCAGCCTCTCTTCCTTTCCAGCATTTTCCTCCTCCCCATTGCCTGTATCACCCATCTCCCTCTGGCAGCCTCTCGCCTTCCCTCCGCAGACTTAGTTTGGATTGCGAACTAAATGCACCGTAGGACATACACCCTCCCTGGGGCTGTGAACGTTTCTCAAAAAGAGAAACTTTTGGTTTACCTAGGTACTGTTATGCAGGTCCAGAAAGCCTGCACGTTGAAGGCGACCATATACCCATATGCCCTTCAACAGCATGCAGCTGCACCTCACCCCCAAACATTCACTCTGCACAGAGTTCCGAGGCACTCCTACATCCTTCCTTCCGGTCACACATAAGTGGCCCCCACCTCCATCCCATACATACACATATCTTAGAATTGTGGGTTAGGCCATTAAAACAAATCAGAGGGTCATGAAGCCAGGTTGCTTTGGATCAGTCAGGAAAATAGGAGTGCTCCTCCAGGTAAATGGGAGGGGCAGGGATATTTTCTTTTTGTGACTGTAGGGTCATCTAAGTCTCCCCCATTCCCCAACCCAGCCCAGGGTCCTGCATTCCTTGGTTCTTGACCTTATACTGATGGGTAGGGAGGTCTGGAGAAAGATTAAGCAGGATGGTTTGATGTCTGTGACTTAAGTGTATAATTTTATGTGATTGGGAGAAGAAAAGGAGTACTGGGGGGATTAAATGTAGAAATCTGGGGGTGTGCTATGCAGTTTCCTCCAGTCATTATATTAAAGGGTTTTCAAAATCTCATGACCCATTTCTCTCTCCTTTAAGCTTTACAAATAAAAGTGGGATGCCCAATGCGTGAGGCTAATTCCTGAGGCAATGGCCCGGTTTCCTAGCCTCCAACCTTGGGTCTTGGGTGGCCTACTGGTCTATTTCAGGCCTCACCCTGATGGAAAAGGAACAAGCTGGAGCTCCCTTCACCCCATCCCCTGCAGTGTCCCAAAGAAGAAGGGGTTATTAAGCACCTGAAGAGTCAGAGGAAATCAAGGGGAAAGTGGAAGAGAGGACCCTACTGACTACCTGTAGGGACCTATGGGAAATGGGTGGCCAGTCCTAGCCTTGACAGGAGAAATACCCAGTAGGAAAGAGCAGCATAATGACTGCCCACTTGAAACTGGCATGTCCAGATATTTTGATTTTTCAAAGGAACAACAGAGTTCTGCATCATAAGGACAAACGTCCTGGGAACACAGCCCTACCTCGCCCATATACCAGTCCTCCTTCTGTTTCTCCACACTGAATACCACCAATGCTAATGCCTCAACACAAGGTGATCTACCAGGCGCTGGGACTTTGCAGTTTTGAGTAACTGAAAACAAACTTAAAAATAGTTGCCAGCAGGACACCTTAGTCTGCCCTTAAACACTTGAGTGGGACACCCGGTGGGGGTGAGGCAATTACAATGAATTCAGCCTGTCTAGGCACTAGATATAAAACATTATGAGGCGACTATGGGGTGGGAGGTAACCCTCCGGACTCCAAGGCAGGTGAAGCCTAGCGAACAGGTCCCCTTCCGCTCTTAACTGTGTTACCTAGGCAAGTCAATCCATGGCCTGTGCCTCAGTCTCCCCTCCGGCGGAGTGAAGGAGCCCTAAATACCTTACAACTAAGCAAAGCAGGCAAGATGATCGGTCGGAGGCGGAACAGACCTGAGGTTTTACTGTTCTGTGATCGTCTCTTCAGGGAATACGGAGCCAACGTACCCACTTTTCACTTCTTCTTCCAAATTGGTGCCCAGTTACGGGGTGGCAAAACTGGCCTGGAGCCCTCGGGTGGGCATGGGAGGGACCAGATTTCTGGAAACGACCGCCGGACGCCGGCCCCGCAGAGAGTGCGCAGGCCCACTCCCGCAGCCCTCATGTCCAAGTGTCCGGGTTGGTTCAGGTTGCCGGGCGCTCTGGGACCCGCGTGCGTCGTTGACTGTTCTGCCACCCCCTCACACTTTTTAAAATAAATGTCCGTGGGGGCGAAAGGGTCTTTAATGATGTTTTTTTGTTTTCGCGAAATAAAATCTTTTGTTTTTATTTTAAACCAGCAGCGTGCCCACCTCTTGGTCCTTCCAGATGTTTGCAATAAAATCGCAGGTTTTGCCTTTGGGACTGGAAATAAAATTTAACGGCCTTCACCCTGTAATTATTCTCTTAGCTCGCCCTTCATAAATTTATCTGCTTTCTATCGGCGTTGGGGTAGGGGGCGAGCGAAAGGGGAGAAAGCCCCGATTTTATGTTTGTGACTATAAAAAAGCGCCACCCGGTTTCCTCGCCTTCGGCGGCCGTGGTGTAACCGGGAGAGCCTGGGCCGGCGGGCGGCAACATTGCGCTATTGTTCGCTGCCTTCGGTCTGCGCAGAAGCTGGGCCCCTCCACAAAGGGGGCCTTGTACGGCCATGCCCAGAGCGGCCGCGCCCAGGAGGCGAGGAAATCCTGTTACCCCAGGCCCAGCGCCTCTTTCTCCTGGGCGTATGGTGCAACCCGGCAGCCGGACCTTCGCCTTCAGATTGTGCCCGCCCTGGACGCCGCCAGCTTCTGCCCTGCCAGCCTTCGCAGGAAGCGAAACCTCGAGCCTGCGCTGAGCCCACTGAGGGTGAGGGAGGAGCCTGCCTCTGCATCCCCAGGAGCTGGGAGAGGCGGGCACGTGGTGGCCGGGAGGCTAGGGGTTTTTCTGGAAGGCCCTCCAGCCCTTTTCCTTCGCCTTGCTTGGCCTGGGCTGGAAAGTAACATTCCGGGACCTTCCTGAGCTCAGGGTTGCAGGGAAACCCTAGGCAACCCAAACCAAATTCAGCCAATTTTGAGGACACCAGCGTGCACTCCAAATAAACGTGGGTACATCCGTAACTACTATATATTTGTATAGAAACCTTATAAG